ACAGTAACCAGAACAGAGTCCTTCCATGTGGGGCAGGAGGAGAGTGACTGAAGCCCCTCAGAACAGTATAGAAGCCAAAGAGCAATAAGGAATCATGATTGAGTTTTGCTTCTCTGGAGCAGCACAGCTGTGAGACTGAAAGCTCTCCATAGTTTTCTTGAATCCGGGAGACAAATTATAGGATACTGAGATATGTTCTTGTTTTGTTGAAAGCTTAGTGAGGTCTGAGAAGGGGCTGGAAGCTCTTCTGCCTGTTCATGCAGCACTGCCTCCAGATCACAACCTGGTAACTGCTTTAACCTTGTTACTTCTGCATGAGCTCTTGCATTACAATGTGCCTCACTGCAAAGCTGATGGAAAATGCATCTCAAAGGCAGAAGGAATATAATCCTCCTGGGATAGAACAGACACAGTCATCGTGCATCCCTGCAGCTTTCCATGGCCACTCATGCTTGTGGGCTACACCATGTGCCAATACCCAAATACCTACCACTGCATGCGAGGACAAAGCTGTCCAACTGCTGTGATGCTGGCATGAGAGTCTTAAGGACTCATTCTGTAAGACGCTCGAGACAGTTACCATCTACTTGTTCCCCCCCTGTTTCTAATTAGTTATGGCACTGGCATAAAGCAGGGTCTGTGTCTTAAGTCTTCATCTGCTCCTCCTTATTCCCACATGAAGTCATAATCCTTCATGTCATCCCAACTGTGTGCTATGGAAGTGATTTAGGATGTCTCAAAACAGAGCATAATGACCTCAGGTATTGAATAAATGGAAGGAAAGGAGCTCTTGTGTCACACACAGCTGGTAATGAACAGAGGGAGATGGGGGGGGGGGGGGAAATTGGGGAGAAGCTGATGTATCTGTGGAAGAATTTGAAGAATAGTCATGAGATTTTTACACATGGCAGATGTCTAAGATGTTTTGACAGATTCTTCTCAGAGCTTCTAAGCCACAGCAGGGCCCTGCCACATATTTTGTTCTTCATATAATGATGCTATGCCATTTGTATGGCAGTTTTGCTGTGCTCTTGGGTGGTACCAGCAGGATGAGAAGTGTGGTTAACAGTTGGCTTCGAGGGCCAAGCAGAAATATCAGCCTGCAGTTCAGTCCCTAGCCAAGAATGAGGCATTCAAGAACAAGGAAACAGATTTCTTTTCTAAACAAGGGATCAAAGAGTGGTGGACGAACATTAAAATCTTCCAGCCACATGAAGCAATGAGAGGTGGTTTGGTAATAACAGCTTGTGGTAATCACAGGGGCAATGTCTGAGTACCGGTGGAAGTTGTCACGAGGTATCTTGCTATACTTCTACTGCAGACAAAGCTCAACAGCTGGACAAAAAAAGAGAAAAGAGCTTTGACCTGCAAGGCAGCACTGCTCACCAGGCCCTTCCCAGCCTGGCTATGGTGGACATTCTTCCATCATCTTCCTTCAGCTGTCAAATGGGATTTCAACCTTTGCCAGCAGGCACCACTTGTACAACTTACAGCTTGCCTTGGAAACGTTGCCAGGCAGAGACCACCCATGCTGATGGTGCCTAGCACGTAGCTATTAAATAAAGCTGATTGCTTCTGAAGGGACATCCTGTGCTTACTCCATCTGGCTTTTTCTTACTCAGTAACAACCTTTTGAGCCCTGGTCCTTCTGATGCTCCTAAATCTGTATACTCTGGGCAGGTGCCTCCTACGTTAGCTGGATCCCAGCTGCTTTCCTTCACTTTCATGATTTAATCTCATGCATTCCTCTGAGGCTGCAAGAACCTCCTGCTTCCACCTCAGCCTACAGGTGAAAGCAATGAGAAGTTACACCTTGTAATTATAGTTATTATATCAACTAACAGAGCTCTTCATAGCACAAACACTGTCAGCACCTGTCACTGTTGGGAAGCACTGTCTCCAGACCTGCTCTTGCTGTCAGACCGGGCACAGATCTGTTGCTTAGAGTTGAGGGGTGAGCCCTGACACTGCCAGCTTGCACGTAGGGCTAAATTCATCTCTGGGCTTCAGGAAACTTGTGGATGTGGATGCTGTGCTAGAAGGCACAGTCTGAGCAGGCTGCTAGCTGCCTTCTGCCTCGTTCCTTTTTGCCCATCCTAACGACAAGCACTGTTCTGCTGCTCACAGCCTCCTTTCTCTCTCCCCCTTCTGTCTCAACGGCAAATTGCTGCTGTGCCTTTCTGAGGCCGGTCTTAAAAAGGTGAGAAGCTCTCACTATGCAGTTTTCAACCAAGCCCTTTAGGAAGGAAGGAGGAGTCAGAGGTGGCATCCATGTGACAGAACTGGGACAGAGATAATTGGATCTTGCTCTCTGCACCATCTTCTGCTGAATGCCTGTGTGTCAGTCCCAGACTGGAGAAGAAACAACTGTGTAAAATGAAACTATGGTAGCTTCTTGGGTGAACTTTAAAGTTAACTAAAGATGACCTGGTCTTGATTAAAGATGTTCCTGGAAGACTAGAGTTCAAGCACAAGTCTCTGCTTTTGATAAAAGAAAAAGTTTATATGTCACCAAAGGTAAACCCTTAGGACCCTGAGCCCAAACTGAACTTTCACATCAGTACTGACCTTACACTTCATGATCTCTTCCTTTAATTCCCCTGTCATATACTGCCTTTTGCTAGGCTGAGCCTGCATTGCCTATAGCAGCAGTGAGGTGTGATGTCACCATCACCCTTTGTTGCTGGGTGCTCATGGGTCAATGCATACCTGCCACGTTCTCCAACCAGACCAGCTCTGAGCAGCAGGGTTGGGACCACAGACAGAGTGGCTCTGGGTGGTGAGTAGCTATCACCTCATCCCTCCAGGTCTGAGGGATACATAGCTATTAGCCATAGGATCAGCTGGTGCTGAGGACGACCGTTAGCTCTATATCAGTGTGGCTGCACTGAGTAATTGCTGTGATGCCCAGGAAATGGGAGAGAGAATGTACATTCCTAATTACCAGCACAGGGTTGCCTGAGGTGAGTGATCCATGGCTGCATTTCCCATCTGTGCCACAGAAAAGGATGGTGCTTCTGTTCTCACCTTGGTTTGTCTTCTCTGTTTGGATTTCAAGCTCCTCAGGGCTCTGTCTTGCTGCATGTATGTACAGTTCCTTGCTTAATAGAGTCATGATCCAAAGTGAAGCCTGCGGGCACTCCTGTATATTATATCCTTACTAATTTCACAAGAGGTTGCAATCAAATTCCTTTATCGGACAAGAAAAAAAAAGTCCCTGAGAAGAATAAAGAAAGCTATTAAAAACTGAGCAACGTGCTACTGAAGTAGAAATAATGGTACTTTGTCCCAAAATGTATAAAATATGTATTGCAATTAAATTCTCTATTGGCAAATTGCTCTACAATTAAAAAACACAGAAGCTTGAGTGAGGCAATTAGAATAATAGTAGTGTTAATTATAGCTTGATGGATTCTGCATGCTGTCAGCAATTACCTTCCAAGTGTGCACTTTCTGAACCAAATCCAAATCCACAAAAAGACACAACAGAATTAGAAATCTCTTCCGTGTTGGCATGCCTTTGCCACTTTAAAATTTGTTTTCCTAAAGACTTTTGTAAGCAATTTAATTAGATTTAATGAGGTTCAAGGCAGAAGCATCCTCCACTGTGTACACAACTCCATAGCACGGACTTGGGCTTTGGGGTAAGGCAGGAGCACTGTGAGTGTGCTCATTTCCCAGCAAGTGCTGCTGGGGACTGATCCCAGTGCATGTGCAATGTGATTTAGCATGGATCATAGAATCATTTGAGTTGGAAGGGACATTAAAGGCCATCTGGTCCAACTCCTCTGCAGTGAACAGGGACACCAACAGCTCCATCAGGTGCTCAAAACCCATCCAGCCTCACTATGTCTCTCTCCAGGGACAGGGCATCCACCATCTCTCTGCGCAATCTGTTTCAGTGCCTCACCTCCCCTCCTTATCGTACAGTAACAACAGAACCTCCTAAAGCATCTCCCCTTCTTTCTTACAGCCACCTTTAAGATACTGAAAGGCTGTTATCCGGTCACCCTGGTTGGTCAGGGGCAGCAGCTGCTTTCTCTTAGTTTGCAGACAGCTTTCAGATCAGTGGAAGGACTAAACCCAAGTATTCTCCTATTTCCTCCAGTTCTTGGAGGCTGAAACACAACTCTGACCCACTGTGAATCTCTTCTCTTCTTGATGTCCTCCCTTGGATTAACAGAAACCTAATCCATCAGGTTCTACCTCTGCCTTAAAATAATGCCCATTGATTCTTTGGAGCTGTATGGAGGCATGGCAGCTGTCCTGGCCCCCACCCCATCGACACTGCTGAGTGTCACTGGAGAAGGTGGTGGATGGGATGCCAGAGGGTCTTGGTGACCCCGGAGTGGGGTGAGGGAAGCTCTTGCAGAGGCTTAGGTTTTCTATTTGGTGTTGATCTACCATTAGATCACAGAACCTGTCTGGATGTGATGCCAGGAGCGTGACCAAAAGTGCTTGGATGCTCTATGCTTAGCTCAGGAGTAGCCCCTGTGCGGGCATGGATGCCCTGACATTAACTTTGCTGCTAATCGTCTTGCTGCATCTATTGGATGAGTCAGGTGCCACTGACTGGGTGGAGCGCTCTCCTATCTGTGCAGGACTTGCCCCCTCCAATGGTAGAATGCGGGGCTTTCTAACACTGGGTGAATTTGGGCAGCTGCTTGTGTTTAAGGTGAACTGCTCACACTGTGCTCCTGCACTGCTTCCTTGCGGGATACGTCCATGGATGATGCTATAACATAGGGAAGGTTACACGGAGGCTGGGGGGACCTCTCGGGTCGGATCCCTCCTGCGCGCTGCCGGCCGGAGAGCGGCGGGCGCGGCCCCTTTAAGAGGAGCAGAGCCGGGGGGGCGAGGGCCGCCCGCGTTCACACCTGGAGTGGGAAAGGGAGGCGGGCCTTAGCGCTTTTGATTGACGGGCAGCCGGCATCAATGAGGCGCCGAGTGGGGGGGCGATCCTGACCAATAGAGGCCCGCGCGGGCCCGCCCGCCAGCCAATGGGCGGGCGCGCGGGGGGCGGCGCGGCTACATGTTGCGGTGCAGCCAACGTGGGCCCGCGGCGAGCGGAGCGGCGGGGCCGGGACGGGGCGCGGGGTCCCGCGGGAGTGCCGAGCGGGCGGCGGGCCGGAACCGGAGCCGGGCGGCAGCGGCAGCCGAGAGAAAGCGCTCGCGGCGGCGGCAGCGGAGGGACCGCGGATCCGCGCTGCCTGCGCGGCGGATGCCCTGAGCGCCCCGCGGGGCCGGCGGCCGAGGCGATGGCGCGGGTGGCGGAGCTGCGCTGAGCGCTCGGGGCGCCTCCAGCCGGGACCGCGTTCCGCTCCGCTTCGGACCTTCGCCGGTGCCGGATACAAAATGGCGGTGGTGCCGTCGCGGGGCGGCGGAGGCTCCGCGCTGCCGCTGCTGCTGGCGGTGCTGCTGGGCTCGGCCGCCGCCTGCCCCGACGGCTGCGTCTGCGACGGGGAGCGGCTACGCTGCGGCGGGCTGGGGCTGCCCGAGGTGCCCCGGGAGCTGCCCCACGGGCTGCGGCACGTGTGAGTATCGCGGGGCCGCTGACCGCGGGCGGGCGGGTGTCGGAGCGGTGTTTTACCGGCTGAAAGGTCTGCGCTTTCTCCGCGCGGGGAGCGAGGAGATCGGCGGTGCCGCCCGAAGCGGGGGTCCCACTGCGCTCCGCCGGAGCCTTATTTGGGCATCTCCGAGGGGCAGCGCCCGGCCCGGCCCCGCAGCGCTGCCCTAATACGGGGCCGGGCTGCCCCGCCACGGCTCTGAGCGCCCGCTGCGGCACCGCGGAGCGGTTTGGGGTGGTTTTGTGGAAAACGAAGGGTTTGCCAAGTGAGCTGCGGGCTCTGCCTGCGGCTCGCTGTCGCCCCGCTGGCCCTCGGTTCGTCTCTGCTTGTTGAGGTCACTGGTGTATCCCCGTGCTGTGAATTACGGCCGTGGATTCGCTGCGAGGTTTTCCTTCAAAGTGTTGGGAAGGGTTTAGGCGCATCCTCCGGGTGCTGCTGCGTGCTTCAGAGCTGAACCCGAGTGCTGACAGCTCTGTGCATCCCATGGTTGTGGTGTGATGAACGACGAGCATCTCCGTGCCTGTAGTTGGGCAGAGATCTGTGCTCCTCGCTGGTCGGTAACCCTGGCATTGAGCATCCAGAAAGGGAGAGGGGGGAAAACTGCCTCAGCTCTTTTGCACCAACGTACAGATTAACGGGGAGTATCCATTACAGCAGTCAGTTTATAGGTTCAGCTCTGCCGGGAGAGAAAAGTCACTCAGATGTTGCTGCAGACCATCCAGCTTCCTATTAAGAATGATGAGGGGCTGTCAGATTCTCTCTGCATTCCCCTCTTTTGGCTGCAGAAATACTGTGTTTGACCCAAAATTCTCAAGTGTTGCTAAGAGGAGGCTGTGGCTATCTGCTCACCTGTTGCTCTGCACTCCTGCTCAGCATTGGGCACTGTCCTGTGAGGTTCTTCATCTCAGCATAACGCCAGAATCCCCACGTGCCTTGTAAAAATAGGACAGTGCGTCTTGTTTCACACAGGAAAATGCATTAATAGCCTGGTTTGACCGAATTTATTGTGTTTTTTGGGAGTGTGAATACCCAGGAGTGTCTTTTTCATATGGAACAGATTTTGGAATGTCTTTGAGTTCAGTGAGTTTTATTGGTAAAGTAATCGCTTGTATAAATCTGCTGCCTGGGAGCTGTTGGACTTGTAGCCACTTGAGCAAGATATGGTTTGTCATTTTGTAAATAGTAAACTAGCAGAAGAATTGGCTAAGGTGGAATTTTTCTATCTGACAGTGCATAATTCAGAGCTTTTTTTTGCCCTTGTCTGTGGCTAATATTATTAAAAAAAAAAAAAAAAAAAAAAAAAAAAAAAACAACCAAAAAACAGTTTAAGCTACTGTGAAAATTTCTGCATTTTAAAATAAGGTTGTTTGTGTTGCTTTTTCATGATTCCCAGACTCACCAATGCTAATTCTGAGTGTGGAAGCAATGGGGCAGGGCTGTGAGGCTGGGACCCCCACCCCTGGTGTGTGCACCCAGGCTGAGCTCTGCTGGTGGCATCACTCATAGGAACCTGTATGGAGATCCCACGTTCAGTGGCTTGCACTGGTGTGTCCTCACTTCAGTGAGTGCTTTCAAAAATCCCTCCTTAGCAGTTTATCTATTTTTTTTTTCCCCTCTAATTAGTGACCCTGTGCCCAAGCAGTGCTGGATTGGTTTTCAGTGTGTTGAGATAAAGCTTTTGTTTGGACTGCAGGAAACTCTGCACACTGGGGAGGGTTGTGCACCGCCCTAATCACTGCGTATTTTGTCAACAGAGCTATCAGTGCCCAGGAAAAGCAGTGGGAGCTTTTGAAACTATTGTTATTTCTTCCTTGGCAGTGGCTCTTGCAGTTGTGATTTTTCTCTTTGGCTTTCAGAGGGCAGAGCTGATGCACAGAAGGGCAGCGTGCTGAGGTCACTCACAGCCAATGTAGAGTGGCACGGGTTGGGGTTCTTAAGAGGAGCAGCGCTGCACACAGCCAGCTGCAGCACCTTGTGATGGTGCAGGACCCACACAGCCCTGGTATGAACAGCCAGCTGACTCAGTGTTGGTGTGCTGGTGGCTGTGAGTGTGCACTATTCTTCTGTTGTGCTATGCCAGTGCTGATGTTGTGCATGTGAGTGCAACCACTTAAAATTCAGCTCAGGAAGGGATGAGTTGATCCAAGCTTTGTGGCTAGAGCAGCCCAGAAGGACTGAATTTTATGGCTGCAAAACAGAATAAAAGAATGAAATGCTTGCATCTCATATCTCCAGTAACAGTTGAATGAGGAAGGGAGTTCCCTGCCCTTGGTTGGTTGTGGACATGGGGTGCTGAGTATGGCAGGGTCTCTGCAGGTGCTGCTCTGAGCTGTCCCAGGAAGATGAATTTGGGTATGGTTACATTGCCCTGAGGCTGCCTGGCACTGCTGCTCTCAGCAGAGCACCTGGGTGCTGCTGGGAGTCCTGTGGGTGCCTGGCCGCAGGCATTTGAGCTGGGAGCCTGGGACAGAGCCCTGCTGTGTTCAGGAAACCAGGATGCCTGTGCTCAAAATTCCAGATTAAGTTAATTTTTTTTTTTTTATTAAACTAGAGCCAGATCTTGTGAGCACTGCAACAGTTAAGGCAGCTTCCTTGGCTGGAGGAGGTACTGGGGGATGAACGTGGAGGTGTTGCAGGAGGAAAGTTTCTGGCAGTTCCAAGCCTGCTGCAATAATGGGACGCAGATGAAGCAGCCATTGCTGGGGGCTGATTTTTGGGAGGGGGAGGCTGCTGGGTCAGGGTGATGGCAGAGCCTGTCCTCGCAGCGCCGCACGCTTGCAAAAATCCTCCCTGACTGTGAACATGTGTCTGGGATTCGCTGCCCACCCCCAGCATGCCATGACATTTATTGGCTCCCACTGGAGAACAGCAGCTAGCCTTCATCTGCTGTCTGATCTTCGTGTCTTAATCCTGAGCTGAGCCCCGGCTGGGAGGAGTGATCCCACCCGGACTGGGGTTAGATGTGCACGTGAGATCCGTAGTGCAGATCCGAAGCCCTTCTGACTGCTGCTCTAAAGTCTGCAGGACCCCCGCGGCCACCTCCCTATTTCTCTCTCCTTTTGAGAAGCTTCTGGCATTTAATCACTTTGAGGCTTTTCCCTCTGCACTGTGACTGCAATTTGAAACGCGAGGGTCCTCTACAAAAGGAGAGTGCTCAATGGGCTGTGTTAATATTCAGTGCCTTTTACAATGCAGCATGAAAAGGGGAGAATGGATGGGCTGGGGGAAAGGGGAAGGAAAGTTCCCAGAGCAGGGGGGCAAGAAGCCCAGTAGGCATCAGAGAACTGAACACACAGCAGTTGTTCTCTAGGAAAACCAACCTTTATGATTTTGTAGCAGCTCAGTATTTTGACTCTGCTTTGCAAACTGCCCTGCAGATGTGTGGGGCTAGAGGGTGACTGAACCTTGCAGGAGCTCAGCCTGAAGTCTAGGGCTGAAGGGCTGAGCTATGGGACTGCTTGCCTTCTCCCATCACTTGGGTTTCCCCTTGTGCAGCCTAGCCCCATGCCTGCTGGCACAGCTGCCCCATTCAGTGCACAGTGGGTGCTTGGAATCTGCAGTGCTGCCTTTGGCTGTTGGCTACTTCCATCCCTCTCAGAGTAGTTGGAGCTGTGCCTTGAGTTCTGCACGGTGCAGTGCTTCCCAGTGGCTCCCACCTCTCAGCACCCAGCTTAGATAAGAACCTGCTGCATTGTCCTGCATGTCAACCACACCCAGAAATCCCAATCAGGCTGGGGGGCTTTGCACTGATCCTGCTGTCAGACACCTCAGATTGAGTTAGCTCAGCTCATCAGTTTTTAACATCATCATTCTGTGCTGCTAACGTAATCGCGCAGTGTGACTTCTTGTTTTGCAACGTGGAGCTGATGGGATCATGCTGATGAATAGAGCAGAGATAATTTTTTTTTTCTCCTGCAATGCACTCAGAGTCAAGGACCAGGATGCTGTTTTGCTAACGCAGAACGCAAAATGCATTTTATTGTTGGAGCTGAGTCATCCATTAATAGTTAACCAAATCCTGCGCTGCAGCTTGAGTCCTTCACCCCCAGCCAGTGCCAGCTTCAGCCCAGGACTACAACGTATGCAGTACGTTACACTCCCTCATTATCTTTTCAGCACGTTGTCTTTCCAGCCACAGCTGTGTAATTTTGAGGAAGTCTAGAAGCAGGCCCTGCTATTTGGGGGCACCCCTCAGGGTGTGATGGGGCATCGTGGCTAAGCTCAGGAGTTTGCTTTGGTTGTTGGTTGCATTTTCAGTTTGAGTAGGGGCTGAAGTACAGGCGAGCCACCTGGTCTGTGGCAGGCTGGGAAATCTGCAGACATGTAGTCTTAAACTCATCCGCTGTGCAAGCTGTGTGCCAAGAGCATTTCCCTTTTAGTGAAGGTGCCTGTTTTCAGGTGAATCCTTCCAGATTAGAAAATGCATACCTGGAGTTCAGTGGAAATTTGGCTCACCTTGAAATGAGAAACTGCTCTCCAGACCACTTCCTCCAGTAGGCAGGCCCTTGGTCAGTGCAGAAAAGCAGGACAAGCCCTCAGGTGCGTGAGAGGAATGAAAGAAGCAACACACGAGATTTGAACAGTTGCTTCCTCTAGCGGAGTGATGCAATTCAGGCATCACAATATTTTCCCAGTTGCCCAAAGCCTGTGCTTGCTGATGGGTGCCCACCTGGATGGAGCACTCTTGTCTCTATGCTGCAGTGCTTGCTGCCCTAGCATTAGCCATCAGAGATGGCATCTAAGCAGGCTTTTGCCTGCTTGCGGGGCTTGCTGTGTTGATGGGTGGCTTCACCATGGTGCTTGGGCAGCAGTCCCTGTGGGTAGGGGAGCTGCAGGTCTGCAAATTGTATTGCAGGTAATAAAATGGCTATCAGAGGAAACTGCCTGGCTGGAGGCCCTGTGAAAAATCACCCCCTAAATGTGTTCCAGTTGTCCAAACATTGCTGCCTATCCGTTCTCCTCTTTGT